TTGGGTTGGGGGGGGGGGGACTCTGGGGAATATCTTTACTTTTTAAACTATGGTAAGCCTATTTTAGGGCTTACGCTTCAGAGTCTGTGTGTGTATGTATGTGTGTGTTCCTCACCTCATAATAATGAGACAATATTTCCTATGTTTTTTGCAACAGTGGTCAGAGTTGGCTCTGGAGTTGCAAAGAAGAGGTTTGGAGGTCACATGAGGCCATGGCCAATGTTCCCATCTCACCTCAAGTGGCCATATTTTTTCCAGCTGTAGAATTAGGTGAATGAGAACCCCATGCATTCTTCAAGAACATTAGCGCCCACCTCCGAAATTCCATAGTGAACATTTAATAGCTGCTAGAGGTAAGTGGAACCACTAAAGCTTGAAATCTTATCACCTTTTCTCACAGTGTCTTAAAGATTAAGGCTGGAAAGTAACTTTTAAGGTGAAGAGCAAAATGTTTGACTATTTCTTGATATTCAATGTTGTTTATTCACTTGAGTGCCATTTGGAAAATAGTTCTGTGACCTAACTAGGCTAGTCATGGGCCTACTTCAATCTTATTCTTATGCTTATAGTCACAGTCATTATCACATTATCACACTTCTGCTATTGCTGAACTGGAAGATGACTCTTATGTTTTCGATATGTAACAGATCGTTGAAGGACACTTCAGAATAACCCAAATTGTCACTAACTATGCAAAGGAACGGTTCAAAGATATTCCATTTAAGAGAAGAATGTCTTTCTGCATTTCTAATGCATCCACAGCTTAGAATGATTAGGTTACATATCTGATAAAAAGATAAAATCAATGAGACAGAGAATAGATTGAGAACAAACTTCAGGTAAAAATATTACTAATATGCAGAATGTAGTTAAAAATGAGGCTATTGGAGCTTTATTAAGACAGAGTTCCACAGTTTGAATAAGACTACTACTGGCAGGACAGAGATCATAAATACGTAAAGTAGGACAAATCATGACTTTCAGTTAAATAAGGCTCTATTATTTAATTGTTTCAGAAATGAATGAATGAATGAATGAAT